TTAAAATGAAGTGAAAAAGATACGCTTGGGATAGAATAAAGGCAATTCTGCCTACAGCAGGAAAGGTTTTACAGATTGAAAATTTAGGTCTTCAGGTGAGTATAAATTTTGCAGATGAGCATAGGCTGAAGTTGTAGGGCATTCTAAGTGGAGGAAAAAGCCTAGAATGGATGGATTTATGAAACATCATGGTGACTTTAAGATTTTAAGATTGTTTGGGATGATCAGAGTCCACGGTGTAAAAGCGGAGTGTCAAGCAGTGAGGGAGGAGAGGAGGGTGACAGCAGATCACACAAAGCCTTGTGCCCTGGAGAAGCAAACTCTTTTATCTTGTGGGCAAACAGGAGCCATTATGTGACGTTATTAAAATGTAGTAACAAAATTTTTATCCTTTAAAAGATCATCCAAAAATACTATGAGAATTTGTTGGATGGTGATAATACTAGAGGAAATCAGCAGGTAACTTCCCATCATTTAGGGCAGAAACAGTAAAAGTAGGAACTAAAGTAGGGTTAGTAGTGGTGGCTTGGAGAGATTGTGAGAGGTGGAATAAAAGGACTCTGTTGACATGAATGTGGCAAGCAAAGAAGGAGAGATCATGCACACTTACTTGGGTAAAGGATGAATGGTAGAACCATGAATCTAAAATGCAAGTTCAGTTTTAGAAAAGTCAGATTTCCATATAGAGATGTTCAGCAGATTGTTATTGTAATGCATATTTGGGCTTGTAGCTGAGAAGAGAAGTTTGGACTGGTGATACAGCTGGCTTCCAGAGACAGTATTAAAAATTAGAAGAAAAAAATGTGAGAGCAAACTTCAGGTTTTTCAGTTAGGATGACATAGCTTCCAAACTTGGAAACGTAGACTTGATCCATTGTACAAGATGATCTATTGAGGTGCAAGAAAAAAACACTGTAGCTTCTGTGTATTCTTATGGTCTATATTAATAAGAAGGATGCAATTAACCTTTATTAAGATTTAATAAGCAGATTTAAATGGTTCTTGCTCAGTCTGTGTGTCGGAGGGCCATGTGTTACGCAAGTGTCCCTCGGAGAAGGGTAATAATTCTGTAAGGCAAAATGATTAATAGAGTCACCTTCAGCTCATTTGTTTATTTTCAGCATATTGGGGTATGTTCTAGTTTATGTATGGCCAATGATGTAAATTTATAGATGATATTATCAAGTTTTAACTAAACTAACTCTCCCAAAGTAGACAAGTGGCTCACAAATTTCCTGGCTGAGACTTAATGCTGATTGAAGATAGTACCAGTAATGCAAGCCCAGGTGAATCTAGCAAAAGTACAAAGCTGCTTCTTCCACTCATACAATAAAAGTTTTCTGTGAGCTAAAAACCATGAAGACTTTTTTAAAATCTTGCAATATTTCTTCCAAACTGAATTTTAAAAATCAAGAAAAATTAATTGAAATATGGATTCAATCATCCATTATCATAACAATAAACCCCGAATGGAAAATATGCCCTGAGATATTAGCTAATGATCTTTTAAAATAATGCTTTTCTCATTATCTTGTGTTTATAATTTTATATTTTTTGTATATATTTTAATATATATAATACATTCAGATAGTATGAAGTAATATAATTGAAAAATAGAGTACATATAGGGAAGGTGGTTGATGTTCTGATATTTTGAGTTTTTAACAGATAGGAATGAGCAATGCTCAGGAGGCAGAGAGCGCTGAGTGAAGGGGTGGGGGAGTCTTTGAGTAGGGTTAAGGAGAGCCAGAGGGATTGCCATTGCTTACATCTCTTTTCCATACTAGCCTAGAAAGAAATTCCTTGTATTTCTCTGTGTAATATCTCCCTGAGAAAGCCCCAATCTCCTTGTCATACTATTGATTACATTATTGAAATTTAATCTCTGAGCCATAACAGAGTACAGAGGCAAAAGAAGAGATTCTAGCATTGTGATGAGTTTATTAAATGTTTGAAAGCCTAAGTGCCAGAAATTAAAAGTGCAATCATTGGTCCTAGTTTCACAGACCATTAAGCAAACAATTGTTTCTGTTTGGACCATTTTATTTGATTCAGGTAACATAAAAGACTTTCATAATAAGAAATCTATGAAGAAAAGTTGACTTATCCAATATTTGTCAATATGCCTCAATTTAATCATGCAAACTTTCATATAAATAATAAAGTTCTATATCGTGAGCTGTGACATTTATGCCAGAACATTAGTCATCATTAAGATTCATGATTCTTACTTTTCTACTTATAGCTCTTTGTTTGTTCTGGGTGATCGGAGAGCACAGTCTTCACCAGGAATCTTAGTTAAAGGTTTATAGGGGTAAATCCAAAATGCAAACTGTAGTGTGAGCTCCATTTACTTTCAATGCTTGAATTGCTTTTGTGGGTTGTAATTCCAGGATGTTAAGGGGTAAAGGGAAATAGTAACAGTACATTCAGTATAACCAAAGATTAGACTTTCAATGACTCTGTTACTTATGCATACATAATAATATCTAAGAATTAGATGACTGTTTCTAAATGAAATGACTACAAAATTTAAAGAGATTTATATTAATAATATAGTTAATTTGGCTCTTAAGAGAGCTTAAGAAAATGAGTATTTTTCATAAATTTTGGGGAAAAATAATAGAACTCCAGAAAACTGAAGGTAAAAGTGAATAGCATTTTCCTGGTGGGTGGCATATTACAAGAATTAATTTTGGCACTTGAGAGTCTTGGTGGTTTTGGCAAAAGCCAGGTAAATCCCAATGTGGAGAGGGAATATGGCAGTGATAGGGCCCTTTTGTTGTGGTAGATGAGATTGAGAATCTTCTGTAATGCTTGCAGAAAGCACAAATGTAAGAATGTTGAGAAACCACCTTTATTGGCCCATTCTAATAATTAATTGCCATTGGTGACACATACACATAGTCATAGGAAAAATTTTACAATCATCACAGGAATTCAGATGTTTATCTAACCATAAAATTTCTTAACTTTTTCCCTAGTGGCTCAAGATGTTGAGGGAAACAGTCTCTCTAAATGAAAGATAAATAGTAAGCCTGCAATTTGTACTGAATTTTTCCTAGGACCCTAATTCACCTCTGGGTAGGTCCAACAGTGAGAAATTATCATTCAGGAAGAACCTTAGCTATTGGGCCAAATATGGAATCCACAAGTATATGTACTTATTTTTACCAAGTAGAATAAAAAGAGTTTGTTACATTAAGAAACATTATAGAAGCTAATGAGATGAGAGCAAAATAGAGAAAGAAAGCCCATGATCTTCTGATTTGAAGAGGACTTTGAAAGTGAAATGGAAGGGGTACCTATCTTTCATCCCAAGAGTGCTCAGGGAAAGGCCTCAGAAGGAACAACTTAGGGTATCAAAAGCCCTCTTATATTTATGTAAGCAGGAACTCATGTGCATCAGGGACAGTTATATGAGTCTAATGCAAAATTTGCATTATGTACAAATCAGTTGTAGTCAAATAGCAATCAATTTCATCTTCAGTCCATGTCAAACAATTTTGTGGTGACAATTGGCTGTGATTGTTTAAATATGGACTATTTTCCACTTTATCTTTGTCACCGTTTCATACCCTTACCAGTGGTTCCTAGACTGAATTAAATATATTAAAAATAAAACCACCTGCACCCAGTCATTTTTACTTCACACTGAGTCACTGACTAGTTCTCCTTTTACTGTCTTTTGATCCCAGGTATAACCCCAGCCTCTGATCCCCGTTGAGTATTCTTCTTTCGTAAGGCTCGTCTTTTCATCTTCCTGACATTTATACCTTCTCCTCTTCTGTCTTCTGTTCTCACTAGCATAAGGCATCTTCTAGGTTTTCAATTTTCCTTGCACTTCTTGGATCCCTGTCAGTCTCTCTTTAGAAGATATAGTTCTAGTTAGTGAAGTCTCCTTACACCAAGATTTTTTTCTTTTCTTTTTTATTTCAGCATATTATGGGGGTACAAATGTTAAGGTTACATATATTGTCCTTGCCCCCTTCCCCCCTCTAGTCAGAGCTTCAAGCGTGACCATCCTCCAGACGGTACGCTTCACTTTCTGTGCTTACCCCTCAAATACCAGTATCAAGCTTTCCTTTGCCATTACAGAAGCTCCATGTCTCCGCACATTCCAGAATTCATGTCTTAAGAACTGCGGGCATGGAGTTGAGCATGTTCAGCATACTTTTTCTGTAAATGGATATATACAACAGGAAATTTCTCTTAACTAGACACTTAAGAAACTGCCTCCAGTTTGCTGCAAATGGAACATATCATGCAATAGTATTTATGGATGCAGTTGTGGAAAACTCAATATCAGGAAGCAGATGGGTTAGGGAAGGGAACAGGGAATAAGAAGTATTGTTTGTCTCTTGTGGATGACCAAAGGAAAAAAAAAAAAAGAGAAAGAAAAACTGCCACCATTTTTAACAGTCATTGTAAATGAATATAAAAATAACCTCCTGGGAGGTATACAATTCCAGGCTCCTCCCATCTTTGGATATTTTGTCTCTAAATCTGCCAACTCTGTTGTGACCTTGAAATGGTAGTAACAGTGGCAAAGTCTAGTGGGTGTAAATTCTCATACAAAGCAAACAACATGTGTATTCTAGATGCCAACAGCAACAAGAACAACAACAAAAAAAAAAACAACAAAAGAAGTTTAATGTGAAATAATAGCAGCTAATAACAGGAGGCAGAGAGGATATGCCTGTCTGTCTAAGGACTGCTATTAATCATATGTACAGCAGTTCCTGGACTTGGTAGTAGAGCACACACGTCTCTGGGAATCAAAACAGAACCTAATTATGAGTGAAACCCATTGGATTTCCCCTGGTGACCTGGTCCCATTATTGGTGATGGCTGCCTCTTGCTATCCATTAGGACTTTCAGCAGCTAGATGCATAATGACAGGTTTGTGAGCTCCAAAAATTATAAGATATTTGGCATCTCTGAACTTACATCTTCCTGTAACAATGTATTTTATTGTTTGGACAAAGAAGGAGCAAATCTACTTGAAGCAAAAGTGGCAAAAGCTTTTAGTGAATTTTATGATTATGTGTGGATGCACATTTGGCAAATTCCATAGATAACAGACTTTTACGGTATGGTAGTAGTGGTCACTCCCTATTTTTCATCCTTCTCCTGCCCATTTTTCTCTTGTTCCTCTTGGCAATGTTTCTTCTTTTCCAACTTCTTCACCTCTCCCTCTGAAGAACAGAAGATAAACAGAGATTGAGTTTTCTGTCCCTTGGGAGAGAAACTTTTATTTCACATATAGATGATTAACCAATACAGGGACAAGAATGCCCACTCATTTTCCACATCTCTGTATTTCAACGATGATCTTACAGTGGACCCAAAGAAGGCAATTTGGCGAAGTCAAGCAGCTAATATCTAATCTGCCCAACTGCAAAAGAATTTTGGATCAGATTATTGCGAAATTATCATAAGCCAAGGCTGCTATTTTTTTCTCAGCCGATTTCTGCCTCTAGTTAGGGTCTGTACAATAAGAACCTAGCAATGCTGTTGCACAAAAACCAACATGCCACCTGATTCAGGTCAAAGCTTCAAGTCCAAGTCTGTGTTCCAGAATCAACCCTTAAAGCTTCCTGAAATGCCTGATCATAATGGGTTTAAATGAAGGAGTTATTAGCCCATGTGTTTTCTGATGTTTGTGGACTAAAAGGCAGTCCCTTGGCACTATAATTCTAATAGAAGTGATGGTGTTGGTGGTAGTGGTGGTGGTAGTAGTGGTGTGTATGTGTGAATATTTATTGCAAACTTATTCTTCACCCAGGAAGTTCTTGGCAGGAATTTAAAATGTAAGGGTTATAAACTAATAAATGTGCTTTGAACAGAGCCAGGTTTACAGTCAAGAGAGGGCAGTACATGGCACTATTAAGGATAACAAGAAGAAGAATTCTCTGATGGGAACTCTAATAAATGTAGTAGCATGCTGTAATAAAGAGCACTAGAAAATGGATGAGGTATAACAAAATTATTCATAAAGAGAAATGGAAAAGGATGTCATGCTGAGTGGTTACATGCAGTTATATAGACACTAACAAGGTTATCACTAGAAGCTGAGTGCTAGTACATTCACATATGTTTTCTAACTAGCACAAAGAGAGACTGTTTTTATCTTGAAGAACAGGAGAGCCTGGAGTTAGAGGTGTGCTAAATCTTGCTACTGATTTTTAATAATTCAGAGCCAAATAGCAATAATGGTTCATGTAGGTCAGTTTAATGAACAAAGCAACCTCACTTCAGGTTGTTTGATGGAAGGTTCTCTGCCGAGTTGCTAACTGTTATACTTTACAGCTATCTCCAGGGTTCTTTTTGATATGATATTATCCTCCTCACATACTGCGCTTTCTATACACCAAAATAAAATGTGATGCCATGAGCTAGGATGAAAACACTAAAAGAATTTTCAAATGAGCCCATGAGCTCTTACTCTGAAGCCACGGTAATGCTAGAAAAACAGAGGCAGTGCCCCACTCACATACCTCTCAAAGTTTTCTAGGAAGCACAGTAATTCAAAGAGTTGGCGAGGAAGTCTTCTGACAATCCGTGAAGCTAAGGAGAAAACTTCGCCCACAATATTTTCATTATCTGATGCTAATAACCACAAAACAGCAATAGACTTACGTGATATTAAATGGATAGACTGATCGTAACCAATTAAATAAACAAATTGATAAGCAACTATTTTATTGACATAGAGGACACTCTATTTCAATGGATTTTCCTTTCCTGATAAATTTAAATAGTGCTTTCATTACACCAATGTGTTTTAAATATACCCCATGGGAAGACGTTTAACTTAGAGGTTTGAGGCATTCAAACTTTTTTTTATTAGACCAAAATCATATCGAGACATAGCTAGAAGTATCAGTGGCAAAGTCTCAAGCCAATAAAAATCATTGAAAGTATTTTTCCTACTGAAATTGGCCCTTGGGGACTTTCCTCTTAGATTCCATTTTAATTGAAATACAGAGCCAATTCTATATGATGGATGAGAGGCCAAAAAGCCCACTGAAATTGGAATTTCTTGCAGAATTCTACAGATTTGACCATGTAACCTTCTTGACTGACCTGAGCATCATGGAATGAAGACCCATCTCAGTTTCTCTGCTCTTTGGAGTACTAACATATTTGCTGTACTATTTAGAGGTATGGATGTAAAGACTGAGTAACATATGTGTTGTTCAGTGTTTTAGCTTTGGGAATATTTCTTCTTCTTTCTCTGCTCTTCTCCAGCATCTCAAATTACACACTTACACATTTTGGAAGTACATACATTTAGTGAGTAAAGGCCCAGGCATGGGTGAGTGGACTGCCTCTGACCCCTTTGTACAGAGAGGGCTCTCTTGGCGACCGGCTCCACCTCCACGTTGCATAGTGCCACACAATATACAATTACACCCCACCTCTCCGACTAGACTTTCTTAATGAGTTTGAGGCATGTTCCCTCCTTCTCAAGTGCCACTTGCCCTGCATTTATTTAGTGAGGCTACAGGCCTGGAACAGAGGCAGGGTTCTTACTCCCTGGTTATAAATACTATCATTGTGTGTGTGCTGATTCTCCAAGGTAACCTGCCTACCCAGGGAGGGTTGGGTTTCTTGGAGAGTTTTCACATGGAAGTTATGTGGAACTAAAGCATTTATGGATGGAAAGATTGGGGGCAGGAAACTGGGCATGGGGTTCAAATAAAGAAACTGAGTATCTATGTCTTAAATTATGAAAACAAACTACCCTCTGCTTTCCAAGAAGAGCCCTGCACCCTAAACACAGGTGGAGCAGGCCACAACATTCTTGCTAACAGTAGAGAAGGGTAAATTTTACCCTTAATATTATTAATTAAAACAATATTGCACCACTGTAAAATCTACAACTTGCAAGCAATTCACTCATTTCACCTAACCTGAGCCTCTTAATACTGCATAATATGAATTGTCAACTCCATTTTATAGGTTAAGAAAATCAAGGTATATAAACTATGAGATTTGTCACCCAGATCCTAAGTGGAAGAGCTGGAATGTGAATTGAGGCCTTCTCTCTCTAAGTCTATTGATTTCTGCTTCCAAAAAGATATATAGGTCTTATATTTTGACAGATACTAACAACTCCACTTAGTACTTTTTATAGCTACTTTGGGAAATAGGAAGCAGAGATCTCCTGGATGAGGACACAGGCAGGTGAACTTTGAAGGGAGCTAGGCAGACTTGGGCCATGACATCAAGTCATGGGGGAGTGCCAGGTGAAATTCCAGGCCTGGGGAAGCCAGTGCTCATGGCTCCGGGAAGGAGCAAATAGGAAATGTTCCTAATAGAGGAGAGAAGAGAAAGGAGAGAGGAAAGGAGCTTGGATAAGCTCTAAAGACCAACTTCTCCTTCCCAAGTTTGCCTTGGGGAGCAATACAGTGAAAACCGATTAGTGCAGGCCTTAATGCTTTGGACGTGAAAGTGAATAAGACTTATTGAGGGGAGACTAATGCAAGCAAAGCCTTCATTTCCAAGGAGTGAGTAAAATTCTGCTTGTAAAATTTCCCAATTCCCTATCTTCCTGGGACATGCAGGGCAACAGTTAGCATGGTAGACGCACAGTACAAGTTCTCCTGGAAAGAATGTGTAAAGAAACAAGTATCACGGAAAGAAAAATGGGAAATACCAGGCAATGTTTCAGAGACACTGTATCATTGTTACTGGGAGGAAATGCCACACGTAACATCAGAGTAACTGTTTATATGGTGGAAAATCAATTTTGAAAAATGTAAGCAGTGGCCACAGTGGGGCCCTAGCTAGGATTTGAAATAAACCTTCTTTAAGTAGGACATAATTATTTTCTTTGGTTTCTAAAACATTGGCTTTCATAAGCCATAAAAATGTTTATTTAATGCAACTGACCCTAACCTGTTTATCAAGTACAGCCGTAGCCCTAGACATGAAATCCTGGCACTGACACGCAAGCACATGGGTGATGGTTATACGTGGAGGTCATCTCTTAGTGACACACACTGGGGAGGGGACTCAGAAGGATAAGAATGTCAAAAGCATGCACCTCATCCTCCATGCCGAACACCCATCAACCTTACCATCACATTTTGTCTATGAAACAGATTTCTGTTCCAAAATGCAGAACACACTCATCAAATGAATTTATTTTGAATACTGAAGCCAAACTGGATTTTTTTCATTGTATGTGTGACTTTTTACATTGAATTTAGATATAGTTTTGCACCCACTTCCAGTCTGGAAAAAGATCTGTTCCACTAAGACTGGGTATTTGGTCTACCCACTTTCCTCTGTGAGCCAGTGCTGAGTTTTCGACTCCTTCACCTCAGCGAGCCTCCCCCAATCTCCAGCTCTGGATGTCTGCTCAGGGCCTGAGAAGTTAGGTTGCTAGTATAGAGTTCCTCATACCACTTGGCCTGTGAGCAGCTGTCACCTTGTAAAGAATTTTCCGCCCCTAAACTTCTTGAGAGATAACATAGTAAGAAATAAATGGAGTAGGCACTCAATAAACTCTAATGGTTATAAATGCCTAGATAGACAGTCACCTGGCTACCTAGGTTAGGCTGTGGCGACATAAAATGTAGTGATTTATTCAAGCAATGCATTTTGACATTGATCATTAAGAACTAGTTGGTGTAGCCAACAAGTAAGTAATTTAACGTGATTTTTTAAGCACAGAAGTTTACAAAATGTAATACACAAGCAGAGAAACCCATAAGTCAAAAATATACACCTCAATATACACCTTTGTTTTTGTGATTTATCACAAAAACAAACACCTTTGTGACCACCCCCAGGCTTATAGAGCAGAATGCATATTAAAGTGTTTCTTCTAATATTCATTAATTGTTTCAGCAGATACTTTTTGTGTCCTTACTCTGTGCCAAGTACTGCCCTAGGTATACTTACAGTATAGTGGGAGAAACACACAATAGCAAATCAATATGTAACACATAAGATGTGTGATACGAAGAGGAACAGAGCAGGCTAAGAGATGGGGTGAAGGTGCACGGAGAGCAGCTAGTTCATGTGTAGAGTTACAAGGGGGCCTGGGAGCACAGGAATCATGTCTAGTTTGACTGCATGTCTCTCGGTGTTGAGCCCACAGTATCAACTAATAAATGCCTGTCAAATAAATAAAGCCATGATAGAATCATGTATTCATGACAGAACAAAGCAAACACAAAAACAAACGGAAAACTGCAAAAAAAAAATTGAAAATTCATTGGCTTTGTGGACAGCGTGGCTAGGCAAAGAGCATTTTGTCAGGGCTAAGAAAAAAATGGCCATTAAACTTTAGACACTGCTTTAGGACAGGAAATGCAATTCATTTTTAGGCACTTTCTACTGAAACTGTTGCACTGAATGAAGATTTTTACACATTCAAAAGAACTTTAAACATAGACACTGCACTCTTAAATTTAGACCAAACAGTGTTCACCCCTGCGTAGCTGCTCTTCAACTTCTTAAATGTCTCCCAAGCCAGTGATGGTGTGTTTTGAGATGCCAGTGGAAGATAAAGGCAGTGAGGACAAAGCTTCATAAAAGGTAAAAAGTTCATGGAACTAAATACCCTTCCAGCGTAACATCGGCATTGCTAAATAACCCTCTGAATGTCACCTTAGGCCTCTGGAGATGAGCGGAACTGACTAGAGAGGCCAAGTCTTCCCTCAGGCCTGAGGCTCAGGTCAGCTGAGGATGTTAAGGCCAAAGCTGTGGAACCCTGAAAGGAATTCCAGTGTGAGTGGGCTTTCTGTCTCCCCTTGTAAAAATTGTTCAGAGTTTCAATTAAAATGGCATGTAAGTGGAAAATACCAAGAGCCAATTCAATAGAAAAATTAACATTTCCAGGACTTTTTTTGTGTGGGGAGGGACTTAAAACATATATGTATGTGGCCTTTGAGAAGAAAGAAAGAGAGAGAAGAAAGAAAGAGAGAGGGAGGGAGGGAGGCAGGAAGGAAAGAGAAAGAAAGAGAGAGAAAGAAGAAAAGGGGACAGACTCTTGAAATTGACATTTTGAAAAATATTAGAAATTTGCAGGAAAAAAAAATAGAATTGAAATGTCTGTAGCATTGTCCCATGACTGCTTTATTATACCAGTTAGAAAATTATCTTTATATTAGGCTATCCTCTGTATCTTGGGTTTTTTATATCTATTGCAAATTGATATTCTAAGCATTATGCCGCAGACATAGTAGTCCCTCAATTAACGTATTCTGATGATATTGATTTTTACTAAATCCATTTCCCACTTCCTTTTTAATGACTCCTAACAATCCTCATAATTAAGTTAAATCAATAGTAACACAGTGTGGAATTCAGCATTTTAAAAACTCATGTAATCATTCATTCTCTCAATCGATAAATATTAATTGCATTTCAGGCGGTGTGCTCAGATGCTGGGGTTTTAGCCATAAACAAAGCAGACATGGTCACTGCTCTATGGATTATAAAATCTAGCTAGAATGACATTTGAAAGCCATCATCATTATCATCTTCATCATCTTCTTTTTTCAGTCTCATCGTCATCGCCATTGCTGCTAACACATATTGAGAACTTCCTCAGTGCCAGG